TGCTTGTTTTGACAGCATATTACATAAGAATTTCCCTGGATAAATGGATTTTAAATCCTACAACTTAATGTTTCATATAGAGAAAAGAAGCGCAAGTTGTGACTAATTGATTAATAATGAATGACACCACCTTATAGAGTTGCTTGGAGGAATACACATGTCAATGCACATAAACAATGAGAACAGTGCCTGGTGTTCGGGAAGTACTTAATCAATGCTTACTATTGTTGTTGTTGTTTGTCCAGAGTGGTCCAAATAAACCACTGGGACTAGAGTCATTAAGAGCATTGTTTCATTTTTTTCCTAGAATATTATTCTATTACCAAAACTAGATTCAGTGAATTAGACAAGTATGGCCGGAAAGTTGGGTCAATACCCTCCATGCTAGGTGAGCAACACGGAGCAGCTGTCTTCCTTCAGGGCACTAAGTCATCCCTCCCGTGGTCTCCATCAACTCTTGCAGTCTCATGACAATTCAATCAAATGCTGCTACAAAAATGTAAGTTTTGATAATTTTTCAAAGTACAATTTAAGAAGCTATTTAACTCTGCAGAAAAACCTCCCCTAGGAGAGGACCGAATGTTCAATAAATGATACAGTTAAAAATCTGCTAACCAAATGTTAAAGTTTCAAAAGACCAGATGATATCATAATGTGATATATTTAGTCTTGTAAATCTTCATATTTTGTCATTGTAACATTTCAAGAGGTAAAGTTGGAAATTTTTATATGGAGCATTATACTTTGAAAAAACAACAAAAGGCAGCATTTGGGGCCAGCTGATTTCTCTGATATTTATTTATTTAAAAATAATTATTTAAAAACAGGCATCACCATCATAATAACATGCTGCTTATTTCACAAAAATTGGGTAAATTAAGTACAATAATGTAAGTAAAACCCTTTGCATAATGTAAAGTGTTCTGCAAATGCACTATTACTTTTATTTTATTTGTTTTGAAATGTTAGACTGCTCAACACACGCACACCAACCAGAGGTAGGAACGTATATACATAGATGGAGGTTATATGTTTGAGTTCTTAAAAGGAGCCACTAAATGAGAGTATGTGCTGTAGTTACTTTTCTTCTTTGCATCTATTTTTTCTCTAATACAGTAATTTTAAATTTTTAGAAATTAAAATTACGGAAATTACAGTAGACAATTCTAACAGAGTATGATTAGAAGGTTTGCAGAGAAGGGCAAGAAAAGATTACTGCCTGAAATTTAATCCCATAAGAATAAATTAGAAACAGTTAATGACCTTAATTATCTGCATCATTGACCCACCCTTAGAGACTCTGGAAATAATGCTGCTGCTGAGAGCAAGGTGTATCTCAAACTCAGTCATGCAAACTAGATGGAGAACTATGAGCTCTACAGTTGTTTTGTAATTTGTCTTGCATGAGAAAACAATATGTAATTTTTTAATAAATAAAAAAGGTTTTCAAAAATTTTCCAAAAAATGAATAAAATTATTTATCTAGATATAAATATCCTTACAGTAGAATTTCTTAAAGAGACCTAAACCAGAACACCTATTTCAAAGCATACTGGTAAGATTTCTAGGCCTGTTTCTAAACCAACGAGTGACTGAGGAATTCGAGCACCAGCAGGAAGCACGTCTATCAGTGTGCCTCTACTTATCTTTGGCTCAAGAAAGACCCTCCTGGTGATCTAGCCGATCACAATAAGATCACAGATCAACACACATCTTCTCCATTTTCCTCAATAAACATGGAAGCCATAAAGAACACTAAGGAATATTTTTTGTTAGATTTTCTTTTTACGTGTAGGTCAATAATTCTCAAACTTCTCTGTTTGTAGGAATAACCCAAACAACCTCTAACACATCCCTATTTCCAGGCTACATGACTAGATTCTAGGTTTTCAGATTTCCAAATTGGCTTCTCTCAGGCATTACATTCTTGTCATCTCTGAGAGACATGAAAAAGTCAAGTATTCACATCTGAAGAGCCACAATTTAGACCAGCTCAAGGCCCTGGAGTGATTCACCAGCGAACCACCATCTACAAGGCCCACCTGATCATCCAGGTGACCTTTTCTCTCCATCACTACATTTTACAATCTTGATTAACACTGCACATCCTCAATTACCCAGGATTCTATAGGGTTAATGAATTGACAAATGAAATGAAGATTTGTTCTAATTTTATAGACAACTTTCTAAACAAGTGCTGCTAAGAGTACAAATGTTTGAAACAAACACTTTCAATGACTAGTCTCTGCACAGCTCAAATTTTTGCAAGGCACATGCCAATGTTTTATGAGGCAGCAATAACATAATGCAAAACTAATAGAGAGGGAGCCAAGTGACATATAGGGTCTTTGAAAGATTACATTTATATTTAGAGTTTCCTCTCAAGTTGCAGGTTGAATGCTTTAAGGTTTTATAACCTAAAACGGGAAGAAAAACCTGACTATTTCTTCAGTCACAGTTCCTTTCCTCAATAAGATTATTTATGCATTGGAACACTGATCAAATACCTGACTCCTAGGTCCTCCCTTTTTCCTGCCTCAGAGAAACTGCTACATTACAGTTACGTCTAGTTAGGTCTCCTGCTTGCTTTCCAAAGGATTTGGAAAATACACAGAGATCCAGGGAAGAGTCCTGCCTGGCCCCACATCCATCTATGGGAGCAATCGAATGTGTAACTTCTGCTTTTACCCTCTGGGGCTTCTCGGCTATTGCATTTTGGGATGCCTGTGGGAACCTATTCAGTCATGCCTGAGACATGCGTCACCCCTCATGTCATACACATCTCTTAGCGAGCATCCAAGTCAGCTCGCGACACAGCACTGTGTAGACTGTACTGCACAACCCCAGGGGGTGCTGTTCACACAGACAGTGATGTGGATAGAGCCCCCGGGACAGTGCAGCTGGCAGCTTTGATCCGGGGTAGGAGCTCTTCTAACTTCTGTTTTGCCCTGCAGAGATTAGAGATTATGATAATGATGAAGGTGATGGTGTTGATGATACTAACGAAGATGGCCCACATTTGTAAATACCTACCATGTGATGATTACTTTACAATTATTAAAAAAAGAAAAAAAGAAGGACCAGCTGGAAAAAAAAGAAACTGATTAACTGATTTGAGGGACCTCTGCTAGCAACCATTATTGTCTTCTTAAAGTATGACTAAATGAAATGAGGTAAAATTATTAGAAAATGACAGCCTTTTTGGATTTTTTCTCAAAAAAGTGATGAATTATGCATAAAAATATAAGTAAATATTGTAACCTAGTCTAGTACTAAAATTTTGATTTTGGAATTTCCTCTATTTGCTATTTGTGAATTTATAGCACTGTCAGGATAAAGCCATAGCGGGGAAAAGCTTTTCTCTTGTAGGCTTTGAAGATTTAAGGTATTTACTCATATGATAGTTTTTTGGGGGGGATTTGAACAAATTCAAATCGAAGTACTTAAACAGATTCCGCAGTTTTGTAAATAACCCTCCAAATCATAGAGTTAATTCAAATCATGACAAGCTAAATTAATCACAAAATGCAAACATTTTTAAGCTTAATCGTCATAGAGTCTTGGTCAAACTTTGGCAGTAACAATTTCTGCACTGAGTGAAGTACAGAGACCACTAAGGTGAACTCAGCCTAATGACTAGACATCTGCACAGGATTGTTTCCAAACTAGTAAAACATAGTTATCAGTTTCTGGTTTTTGGTTCTTGATCCCACCCCTAATCTATGAAACCCTCCACTGGTAAATTCTATATATGAAAAGACTCTTTGATTTTTAACTGCTTTTACCCTTTAATTTCTTTTCTAAATCCTCATAATATGGCCTTTCCGAATACTTCCTTTAAATGAAAAATAGTCAGGTGTCTATGGTTAAAATTCCTTCTCCCCACCCCTCCCATGTCATGATATAATGCCGAGGCATTGAATAATTCATCAAAAGAGACCATTTTATTTAAATATTAAGAATAACATAAAATAGTATTACAATGAAAAATATTGGTTTGCTACCTTAATGGTAGTGATTATGAATCCCATTCCTGAAATAATAATGCCTATTTTTAACAGAAAGTCATTTCACCAATGCTTCCAGGCAATTTCAAAAACTTGTCTTAACCTAAGATCATTACCAATGGCCCCAGGGCCTGAATAATATATTCCTACATTACCATGCAGAATCTATCACATTTTAAGGGTTCATTTTTTACTATAAAATCTGGATCATGGTCTGTACATTTATAGAAGAATAACTTTCCAAGTGCTGCTCAAGAGTTCTTAACGGAAAATTAATGGAGAAATGCACCTCAGATGAAATCTGCGACCTCCCCAGGAATGGGAGGAAGTCAAATCAGCCTTTACATCTTCGTAACATTCCAACTGAATCCACCTCCACTGAATGCAGCACTCAGTCTTCTCTGGTTTAAATATCCATACAAGTGATGATAAAAGCTCAACAGGTGTCTTAAGGATGATTAACTAGAAATTAACTCCTAAGCTTTGCTCAAATGCTTTGAACACTGTAGTCTGTCTTCTTCCCCATCCTTGGCTATGAAATAGAGACGTTGTTTTAGTCATTACACACTGGGAGAAGACTACTTATATGTTAGGAATTTGGCTTTGAGAAGTCAGTCAATCTATTTCATTACAGGCTTTTATAAGGTATTGAACATAATTCCCTGTGCTATAAAAGAATATGAAAAAGAATATATACATGTAGAACTGAATCACTTTGCTGTACACGAGAAGAGTAAACATTGTAAAATGACAATACATCAGTAAAAAAGAGAGAGACGCCAATTTGAAAAAAAAAAGTCAACCTAGTTTGCTAAGCATAATGACCTAATTTTTAACTGATGGCTGTTGAAACAGTATCTTAGATGTGGAAGTGACTCATGAAGTATGAAGGAGTCATGTATAAGAGAGGCTTGCATTAAACTGGAGAATAGAGGGGTGTCGAGATGGTGAGTTAGAAACAAAGAGCAGGAGGCACAAAGTACAATGGCTTACCTGTAATACTTTGGTCAAATTGTTAAATAGAGCTTGTCCAGCACTGACTTTATATTTAACACCTCTGACTGTGCCATTTTTGCTTAAAATGTTGACTCTTCTGGTACCAAACACCTTCTCGCTGGCAGCCCTTGCTAACACCAGCAAGTTATCCTGGTCGTTCTCATGCTCGTCACCTTCCGATCCTATGTGGCCATTCTGCTGTCCATCAGACTCACTCAGTCCATCTATGCCACAGATACTGGCACATTCAGAATCCAGAGAGCCAGCCGGCCGGCCATCTTCATATACCTCCTTCAGAACTCGCCCGCTGTGAGAGGATGCGATTCGAAACCGGACTTTGCGTGGTCGGTCATTTTCTGGCTTCATCTCCCTTTTCAGCATGGTCCCATCCACCCACATAATACACAGTTCACATAATTCTGGATCCCTTGTTACTGCGTTAGCCCACTTGCCACGTGGCAATGTCAGAGCTAAATTCAAGTGACAGCAGCACTCCTAGGAAACTAACATCAAAAGGAAAGAAGATTCCCCAGAACTTACAGCGCATCTCTGCCATTAATAATGAATGTGTGTGTGTGTGCTATGGTTACATTTAAACTAAAACCTGCAAAGTGATCCCAGCCTTTAAATATTCAATAGCCATGGTGGACTCCTTAACAGGACAAGTGCAAGAAAGCAGCAGTCAATGAAACAGAAAATAAGTATGGGACAAGGAAATGAAAGACTTGAACTTTGAAGCCAGTGGTGAGTGCTGAAAAGGATCTTGCAGCAGAAATACCTGTTCAGTTCAGTGTGGAGACCAGAGATAAAATATGGAATCAAATGTGTAGGATGGGAGGTGTCATAGTCTCATAGTGCTTATTCCTTCTGTCTTTCATGCTCTTTAAACAGGGCAGTCAACATGTTGCATGTCTACATAGAGCCATCAATATTAGTTCTATTAAATCATCAAATAGACTTCATCTGCATTGGAGACGATGAATTACTGCTAGCAGAAAACTTTCTTCTCTTCGACAGAGGGAGAGGTTTTGGAAAGGAAACATGGAAACAGTTAGGGAAGAATGGAAAATCCTCCCAGCCAGCCAGATCAGCCAGAGCAATCCAGGAGATCAGCACTGATAAATATTAAATCCAAATCACCCGTGCATAGAGAAGGTCCTCCTTATGCTGCACTCAGTGGATTTCCTGTCACTTACGTGAGCACTTGAACAACCTCCTGAGATCCAAGGTCATATTGAAACTTACTCTACAGTGAGTGCCCCAACCTGCCTGCACCTCCAGAGGGAGGGTACTTAGATGGCCCTGACACCGTGCTTCAAGTTTGTTTTTTTTTTAACGTTTATAGTTTTTACCTGGTTATCAACTTAATTTATACCTATTTAGAAACTTCACACAGGGAAATATACACAAAATGTTATGATAAATCACAGAGAAAAAAATGTGACAATGAGTGTGTATATGTCCATGAATGACTGAAAAATTGTGCTGAACACTGGAATTTGACACAACATTGTAAAATGATTATAAATCAACAAAAAATGTTAAAAAAAGAAACTTCAGAAAATAGCATAAAGTTGAAAATAAGTTACGAGTAATTTCACTAGAGATGTTCATAATTTTGTGAATTTTCTTCCAATGAGTACGAAGGTGAGACACTCTGATACACACATAACTACACTGCCCAGCCTCTTGCATTTAAGGGGAGAATAAACAAGTGGGGAGTTTTTGCCGATGGGATGTGAGCAAAAGTGACATGTCATTTGTGGACCAAGGCAGTTAACAGACGGTGTCCTGTCCATGCTGTTTCTCTTCCTTCCCCATCTGCTAGGTGGATGACCCCAGTGATCATGAAGCCATATACTGAGCTTGTCAGAGTCACAGAGAAATTCACAACCACGACCACTGCATTGGACTACAAGCATAAAGAAGTAACTGCTAGAGAGAGAAGATATGTGCCCTGATGTATACCATGCGCTCAGTAACTATAATGCACACACTTGTCTTAAGCTAAAATAAAAATTAAGCTCTTCTTTTCAGTGGCTAAATCCTTATAATTCTTTTTTCATTCAGGCAATGAGTATTCTGTAAGTATCTACTGAGTGCCACCCAAGGATAAGATACAGCAACAGACTATAGTAAATATAAAGATATATAAAATTATGGTCCATTCTTTCCATTGTAACATAATGCTTAAACAAAATAGCTGTAGTTCAGCATGGTGTGTTTTAAGCACGTACAGAATCCCTCGTTTTTGAAATGACCAAATATCTAGTCAGCGCCAATAAAAGACACCAACGCTATTCTCAACACTCTCCACCCTCATTCTGTTTACAATTTGTTTCCAGCTGCTCAGTATGAATGTAGTACTTTCTAACTTTTTGCCATCTTTTCCCAGAATCAGTTTATTATTCCCTATATTATAATTTCGTTTTGCTAGTTTAGCATCTACCCTTCAGCAAGAATTTCCTTCAGATGTACTCTTACAATCATTTATTCATTTAACAATATTTATTGAGCACCTACTAAACATCAAAGAGTTGCTGGATCTATACAGGTGAACATAATAGGCATGATCCCTGCCCTTAGAGGGAGACAGGTAACATTCAATAAACACGTAAATATGTAATAAAAATTGTAACCAGCATTACCAAGGGGAAAAAGTGGATATAATCAGAAATGATAAAAGAAGGGAGTCTACTTTTAAAAGAAGTAAGCCTCTCTGAAGAGGAGTCATTAAATACCATCCACCAAAACTAGAAGAGATCAATGCAAAGATCTGAGGTGGGCAGGAGTGGTTGGAGATAGTTCCTCAGCTGCAGTCGCAGGTGAAAAGGCCCTGAGGCAGAAAACCACAGGTTTGTTCAAAGAAGCAAAAAAAGCAGAGTGGCTAAAGACAAGCATGACTCTCATTCTGCAAAGGTCTTCTCAAAAGAGGACAAGACTAGAAATGGCTTTCCTTCCTAACTTAATTCTTGATTTATGCAACCGCTCAAAACATGAACAAAAACACTATCAATGATAGGCGATTTTACCAATCCAGAATTATTTCAAGTTTGACACGAATGAGAATCTATTTATTTAAAATAGTAAGTTACAAATTCTAGAAGCTATATAGAGGGCTGAATGTGATATTAACCAAACTAGAACTACCTTGGAAATTACCATCAATGATTAATTCAAAGAAAAAAATACCCCTTGTTCAATTCCTAGTTAAAACAGAAATTTAGCAGGTAGACCTAAGCCTGGATATTTCTTGTTAGTATTATTTTTTTAATCATAATATCAAATTATTTCCTTATTTGTAAAGAAAGTATGACATGAAACATATTCTTTTTTATTGAAGCATAGTTGATTTTCAATGTTGTGTTAGTTTCTGGTGTACAGCATAGTGATTCAGTTATACATATTCTTTTTCATATTCTTTTTCATGAAAAAAGTTATTACAAGGTTATAGGTTATTATAAGATATTAAATATAGTTCCTTGTGCTATACAGTAGGACCTTGTTGTCTATCAATTATATATATATAATAGTTAGTATCTGCAAATCCCAAACTCCTAATTTATCCCTCCCTCCTTTCCCCTTTGATTTTCTATAACATAATTATTCTTTCACTCATCTTGTCTCCAAATATTGCCCACATATTATTCTGTGCGTGAGTATCATTGCTTGGGGAGAAGTGATTTTAAGTATATTCCTGGCATTTGGAGCATATTTTTAAATCACTTGATCACAGTAAATATGGGCAAAATGCTTCCACTTGCTGCTACTTTACAGTGATCACATTCACTATTTTATTTTTCGGTCCTGAAAGTGCTAAAAATTGATCACTGAAAGTGAAGAAGAAATTTTGCCAGCTGTTGGCAAGGTAATGGACTTTCTCCAGTAACACTTGTCCCTCGAGAAGCAATAAATTATGACTCACTCCCCAAGTGCTGTTCTCAGAACTTCTATTTGGAGAGAAAGAACCTATCAATTTTTATTTTCTAACTACCTTGGTGATGAGAGGGGAAAAAAGGCTCACTAACCATCAGTGAAATAGGGGAAATGAGCTATCCCTGAAACTTTTCAGCTTATAGAATATTGAACCTTTCTTAATCAACATGAATTTGCAAATCAGAATTTACAGCTCAATTGTTAATTTAAAGTGCAGAGAACTTCTAATCAGAAAAGAAACTGAGTGCATTGAAGGGAATATTATTTGAAAACAGGACTACTGTATTATAAGATGAAAGATGGACGATTTCTTAGTTTACAGATTAGTGGTTAGGAATGGGGGTGTGGGTACACACAAAGCTGGGTTTAAACTTTAGATATGCTATCCCCTAAGTAACCTGGAGCCTCAGTTTCCTCATCTGTCAAATAGTCATTTTTATTGCATCAAATATTTGGCAAGACTGAATAGAATGATGGATATGAACTGCTTAGAATGCTGCTCAATGGATGATAGGTATAAGTTCTTATAAGTTCCTTAAAATAGCTAAATATAAATAAACTCATCCCTAAGTATATTGGGAGATTGGTTCCAGGACCCCCACCGATACTAAAATCTATGGATGCTCAAGTCCTTTATCTGAAATGGCTTAATATTTGCATATAACCTATACACATCCTCCTTTATAGTTTAAATCATCTCTAGATTATTTGTAATACTTAATACAATGTAAATGCTATTTATATAGTCGCCAGTGTGTGCCAAATTCAAGTTTTGCTTTTGGAACTTTCTGGAATTTTTTTGAATATTTTCCATCTGCAGTTAGTTGAGTCCTTGGATGCGAAACCCCATGCATATGGGGTGGGGGTTACCATTTGGAGGACAGGAAGAAGAATGGAGCCAGGTGAGCCTAAATAGCTGACAGGGACTCAAGGTAATCTGTTTCTGATCTGATTCTAGAGCTTCAAAGCTCAACCAATCTGTCATCACTTAGATCCTGGAGAAGGGCTCCAGGTTGCTGCAGCTCATTCAGTCTACACAGCTCTGGACTGTTGACTGTGTGTTAAGTGCTATTCTGGGAGCAAGGGGTTTCAGCCCTGGTTCTACCTGTCACTTCAGATCCTCAGTGGGCATGGTCATCTCAGACTCCCGGGGTTGCTTGGCTGTGGACTCAGCATGTACCCAGCATTCCCTTACATAATTACCTCAACTCTCTACAATTAACACAATCACCGATGAAGGAGAATCCATGAAGAGTCCCCAAGCAACAGCTTCCCGAAATAGATTTTCCAGTTCAATTCTTATCTTTGATTTCCCCACTGTATCTGGTAGAGCGTTTTGCACAAAAATAGTGCTCAGAGAAATGTTTGCTGAATTAAAATTAGCTAAATTAGATTTTAATGTCAGAACAGACTGACTGACCACACACTGAGGAGCGAGGTGAATA